AGGTTTTTGTTGTTTCTCATAGTTCTGGACAGTCGGACTATAAATCTATACACTGGCAGCAAACTAGCTCATCAAAACCATCCAACTAGAAACCATATTGAACAAACTGGTTCAGATGCTGTTTCCAAACCCACAGCCTCTGGGGGCTCCCTAACTCATGGGAATCCTATCCCATTGTCATTTCAACCCAGTGTATTACTTCTTGTGCATATTTCCATGCCACTTAATTCATTCCTAGATTCATAGTTTATATGGCCAGAAGTGACCACTGTGATCATCTTGTCTGACCTCCTGCATAACACAGGCCATAGGACTTCCGTGAATTAATTCCTGTTTGAGCTAGAGCAAACAGGAATTAGGGTGTGGAATAAAAGTTGCTGTATGCTGACGTCAGACTCTTGAGAGATCAGGATGTCTCCTTTGACACTTTGACCTTATGTGGTCTACTTCAATCACATGTTTCTCTTGCCTTCTGTTTTACAGGAAACTTCCATCCTTTTTGTCTGTAACCATGTTTAATTTGTGCCAGGGTTTGACAGGGCTGAGCCTTGGCACCTCTAGGCTTGGCAGTTCATAGCCCCAGCACCTCTGGGCTTACTGCCTCAGTAATGAATGTAAAAAAAAAATTTTTTGCTTGAGTCCCAGCACCTAATAACTTGAGCCCCAGCACCTCTAACTATAAATTAAGCACTGTCTGTAACCCTATCCAACCCCCCCATCCCCAATCTAGACACATTACTTATTCTCTAGTCCATATTTGTACCCAGTTGGCACGGCAAATCCATTATGGGGAAATGGAGAGAAGGCTGCATGCTCAACTGTGGGACCCTATGAAATAGAGTTGTGGGGGGCTACATGCTTTGCTTGAATCTTGGCTAGAGCTGGTCCAAAACTAGTAAGTATATTTCATGAACATTTTTTTTAAATAAATGATTTTTTTTTCTCATTTCATTCAACATTTTTCATCATATTTTGGCTAGATAAATTCCAAAACAATTTTTTGAACATTTTTCAAAAATTTTCAATTGTTTTGTTTCAGTGGGGGAAAAAACCCCCCACTTTCCGAATTTTATATTCCCCATTCACAATCTTTTTTCCCTAGTGGAAAATAAGTTAAAAAGTAAGAGAAAGTAGGATTTTGCCCACCAAAATGAAATAAAAAATTCCTTTTTTTATTTTCAATTTTTAAAAATTTAATACTAAGACCTTCAACAAACATGGAACTAAATTTGTGAAAATTTCAATTTAATCAAAAAGTCATTTTTTGATGAAAAAATGCCAAAATAATCCAGCCAGTTCTGAATCTGAATTAATATAATATTTCTTCATTACATTCAAATGAAGAGAGCATCAAAGAAATATTACAAATATACAATATATACTAATGTAATCAGAACACCAAGAAGTATCACTTTTAAAAGTATTCCACGAGAATTCCAACTCATCTGGGTGACAAGTTATTTAGGTTATATTACAGATTCTGACACAAGACTAAGCAGTTCAAAAATCCCCTTTTCTTTTTTTCAGATCTTTGACTACCATTGTCACAGGAAGCCAGTACAGAGGCAGAAGAGAGTGAACTATCATGTGAAGACCATACACACAAACATGAGCTGTGAATATCTGATGTGGATATCTGTGGACAATTTGGAGAGAGTCCAGGGGAGGACAATGAAAATGATTAGGGGGCTGGGGCACATGACTTATGAGGAGAGGCTGAGGGAACTGGGGTTATTTAGTCTGCAGAAGAGAAGAGTGAGGGGGGATTTGATAGCAGCCTTCAACTACCTGAAGGGGGTTCCAAAGAGGATGGAGCTAAGCTGTTCTCAGTTGTGGCAGATGACAGAACAAAAAGCAATAGTTTCAAATTGCAGTGGGAAAGGTCTAGGTTGGATATTAGGAAACACTATTTCACTAGGGGCTTGTCTTCACTACCCGCCTGGATCAGCGGGTAGAAATCGATCTCTCGGGGATCAAATTATCGCGTCTCGTTGGGACGCGACAATCGATCCCCGAATCGACGCGCGTACTCCACCAGCCCAGGTAGGAGTAAGCGCTGTCGTCGGGGGAGCCGCGCTGGTCGATTTGCCACCATCCTCACAGCGGGGTAAGTCGGATCAGATACGTCGAATTCAGCTATGCTATTCGCGTAGCTGAATTTGCGTATCTTAAATCGACCCCCCCCCCCACTGTAGACCTAGCCTAGGAGGGTGGTGAAGCACTGGAATGGATTACCTAGGGAAGTGGTGGAATCTCCATCCTTAGAGGTTTTTAAGACCTGGCTTGACAAAGCCCTGGCTGGGATGATTTAGTGGGTGTTGGTCTGCTTTGAGCAGGGGGTTGGACTAGATGACCTCCTGAGGTCTCTTCCAACCCTAATATTTTATGATCCTCAAGTATACTAGGAAAGTGGCAAAGAAATACCAGCAATAAAAAGACAAGAGAGAGGGGAAGGCATTGAAAGTGACCATAAAGTTTGCTGCAAGAATGCTCTCTCTCTTAATAAAAGCAGTTGGTAAGAAAGGTAGCTAATGTAAAGTATTTAAAAAACAATCAAGGATCCAACCCTACTCCCATTGATGTCAGTGGTAGTAAAAATCTATTTTAAAGCTGAAATTCCATTACTTTAGACCGCAGCTTATGCTGGACTCTCCAATGTTGATAAAGATACTGCTCATTTCCATCTACAGAATGCATTCCACACTTTGACTAGTTCATTTTCAGCAACGCATAATGTATCATTTGTAATCCCATTTAATAGATTGGGAAATGGAGACAGAGAAATTAAATGACTTGCTCATGATGCATGTCAGAGTTGAAATTACAAGTGCTTGATCTCAACTCCAAGTTCAGCACCCAGACGACCACACTACAGTGTCTTACCAAGGAAACAGTGTCTTCCTTTTAGAATCAATGGACATCAATAGCAAGGCAATAGGAAGGAGTATAGGCCAGGATTAGACTGCTGATCATCCAGGCTTTTTCCCTTTTACAGGCTGCAGAGCTGACCAGCTTCTGCTCCTCCTACATTGCTGGAGCTGATTGGCAGTCAGTTAATTTTGCTCAGTCTAGTCTCATCTATACTACTACCTGGCTCTGTCTATGGAGACCCATGCAGGCAAGCAACAAACATGTACTGGAGTGAGTGGAGGGTGAGAGCTCAGAAAAAAAGTGAGTAAAGCGAAGAAAAGGGATAGGAGAGATGGTCTAATTGTTGTGGTGTTAGCCTGGAACTTGGGAGACCTGGGTTCAGTTCCTCCCTCCACCACCAACTTGCTGTGTGACCTTGGGCAAGTCATTCAGCCCCTCTAATGCTTGAGTTCTCCATCTGTAAAATGGGAGATATCCTCACAGGGGTGTTGTGAGAATAAATACATTAGAGTACAGGTGCTCATGTACTACAGTAATGGGGATCATAGAAAGATAGAGATGACAAAGAAGAAGGAGGGGTCAAGGGGAAACGGAGGTGGCAAGAAGGGATGGGACAATAAATTAGAAATTTTGGGAAGACAAATATGGAAAGTGAGAGATTGAAAGAACTTGGGGGAAAGAAAGACGAGAAAAAACACAGGAAAGAGTGGCAGCGTAGATAGAGGATGATGGGAATAAGAATACTGTTAAACAAGACAAAGGGGAAACAGACACTGAAAAAAACTAAGAAAGGATATGATAGCATACAGTAACAGGAAAGAAGAAATTTGGTAGGAAAAGAGAAAAATAAAACTAAAAATTAAAGAGACAGAACAAGTTGATTTTTGAATTATGTAATAGATCTTTTAACATCACCAAATGTTATAATTAAAATTACAATGTTTTGTTTACATTGCAGACAAATTCATTACTATCTTTGAGTTACTGACAGAATTTTTCCAAAAGTGCCTTAGGAGGTCACACACAAACAGCTACACTGAGTTCTGGTAAAATACCCAGGGCAGCTTGGGACCTTTGTGGGCTGCACCAATCAAAAAACAAACAAAACAAACAAAAAACACTATTCCAGGGCTGCATGTACCTGCAAACCTGTTCCTGAACAAATACTAGAACTGGGTATCACTAGAGGAATGGAGCCAATGGAAAGGAGGAGACAGGAAGGCAAACAAAACAAAGTTAGAGTGACTGCAAGAGTGAATGAAACTATTCATTTTCTCCTTAACTCGGTTTATTTTGTGATCAAATATCATAAGACGACACAGGATGTAAATCTAGAGAAACACTTTTTAAAAAAACTTATACCAGAATTACTACTCTGGTGTCCATCTTATCTCTCCCTTGTCTTCCATCACATACCTTGGAGTGAAATAACAGAAGTTCCTACTGCACCAAAACTATAGCTGAGCAAGTTATCTTGATACTGTGAACATGTTTAGAAAGCCCTTAAACAAAGTTATAAATAAGCCTTGGAGCCAGCTATTCTCATTTTTTGTTCTTTAGCATTTCTCTTTGTTCTCCAACAACGGAATGAGAATCTAGTGCCAATGGAAAGACAAACTGAACTGCTCTGGGCTTTTGGCATGCTCCAGAACAATATTTTAGCCTTGCGGGGAGACAAAAGGGAGAGAAAATATCTGGCGCTGATGTAGTCTGTGGTGTTTTTCCTGTTTTTTAAACACAGTTCTTTCAAATCCCCAGCACCACGTCCTCTCTTCCCCACCCTGAGCAAAAAAAGATAACCAAATATCAGTAGGCCATTGTGCCCCTTCATTTTCCATCTCTGCAGCTTTGTTCCATACAGCATGATATTTCTCATCAGTGTCTTCTTCCCTGACATTCCTCCATGTACAGAAATCACTAGAGTCAGAGGCCAAGTATCACCTTATGAAAGTGACTGCAAGACCTCTGGCCCGAAGGGAGATTTCCTTGCAATTCCTTCCATTGATTCAAGAATCAGTCATTCCCCCACCCCCTCTCAGAGAGCCCAAAAAGCTATAAAAATGGAGAAGCAATAAAATTAATAAACAATAAAATTAAATGTAAGAAGTTCATTAGCTGTGTATACTCACGGAGGCATAACACCTTTTGGAAGTCCTAGTGCATTGACAGATATAGGCGGTGGCTGGGATGGTAACATGGAGCTGAGGAACGCTGCTGGAGACTGGCTGGAGTTAGAGAATCTAGCAGTTGGAGAAAGACTGCGGGAAGGTGAGGAAACTGAGGAAGGGAGAGGAGGAGGAGGGGGTGGGGGAAGTGGGAAGGAATCAGAAACTGAAAATGTTGCAGTTGGACTAAAGACTGGTGGAGGAGGGGGAGGGGGCGAAGAGGAAGATGGAGACCACAGGTACTCCCCTTCCGGAGCAAATGGCTGGGAGAAAGGGGGAACAGGTGCTCTGCCAAATTGTTTCTGAGAGGCAGTTGGAGACATAGGGGATGGAAGGCTGGATGTGGAAGACCCAGATGAAGGAGTTACATAACCTGAAGCAGGGCTGATGTTCTGAGCAGCAATGAACTGTTTAGGCCGGGCATAGTTGAAGGTGCTGGATGACTGCATGGTTGGGGAAGTGTGGGAGTTGAGAATGCTCATTTGCACAGGAGAAGTGACAGACTGGCAGGACACCAGCTCCTGGAAAGAAGGGGGAGGAGGAAAAGGAGGAGATGGGGGAGGGTTTTGATGTTGCTGGTGGTGATGGTACCGCTGGCCACCTTCTTGTTCCAGACGAATTTGGTTTTGCAGTTGTTGTAGTTTTAGAGGGTCCCTGCATGAGAAGAAAGAAATTTAATCAGAGGGATGGTGATGGGAGAGGAGAGGATTAAAATAAAGAGACAACCTCATTATCTAGACACTGAGCTCTATTTTGTCACCTGGAATTTTAGAAGCCAATGGAACTCAGAGCTATTTGCATATCTGATCCTTAAGTCTATCCCCTTGCCAGCAAAGTCCCTGCAAGAACACACATCAGATATTAAACTGCTACAACACTTAATTATAGCTAAAGGACCATTTGTAAGCTCTCTAATTAATAAAGCCATGAATCCCTGCTGGGATGGAAAACCTCAATGAAGTTGGGAGATTTGGTTTGGATACTTATTTAAAGCTTTTCCCAACGGATTCAAACCTTTTTGGTCAGGAGATTGGGATGGCAGATTTCCTGTAGTTCTCTATTTCATCAGACCTGCAAATACTGCAAGTAAAGTCCTTTTTGTGATCTTCTTAGTACTCTTATTTTCAGCTGATGCCACAATAGAAATTAAGACTCTTGAATTTTAAAAAAGTTTGATTTTTATTTGGGTGCCGGTGGATCATTTGTTAATTTTATTTGAACTTAAAATATTAATTGCAAGAGTCCTAGTATTAAGGGTCACTTTTTTTTAAAAGGGCCTCAATTCTGTCTCTCTTATTATGGTGTTCAAATATCTAAGCAACTGCAGCCACAATCAGGTTGCTAGAAATCTAAATGCCCTAGTTTGTGCCTGCTGTTAATCATGTGTCATTCCCGTGAGGTGACAGACATTTGACAGCTCTGTCAAACCTTCCCCCACATTTGTGAGGGAGTGAATGAAACTTCCCCCATAATTTTCTGCAACCTAGGGAAAGGTGAACGAAGCTGCGTACCAGGAAACCATGAGTTTTAGTCCCAGCTTTTCCACTGACAGCTGTTAATATAGCTGTACTCTTTACAACTTTTATTCTTAACCAAGCCTCAGAACCCTACCATACCAGGAGGCAGCTGAGGAACTGAAGCTCTAGGGCTCTGCTAACTGGACTCATAGCACCACACCAATGGGAGTTAGGCTTATTTACAATAAAAATACAGAACTTCTTCACATTCACATAACTGTAAAGACTGTAGGTTTGACATTCAAAAGCGCTGAGCACCCAGAACTCCAAATGAAGTCAATAGGTATTATAGACACTCAACATTGATGACAATCAGATCCTGTACATATTTTTGCTTATTGTACAATTGCTTAAATGACCATTTACATTGCACATTGAAGGAGCAATTAACAGGAAAGCAGCACTTCTATAAAAAAATCTTGAGACTAAGGACCATTAAGGTAGTTTGTGAATCTCCTTTAATAGTCCTCCTTTAGCAGCACTATAACCTCAATAAGGCCCCTATCAAAGCAGAGATCAAACTTTGCTGTGTGTGGTCTTGATTCTAAAACTCATCTGTCTTACTGGCTTAACAATTGTCTTGTCCCAGCTGGGAATTGTAACTTTGTCTCAACGCTCCAGATGTCTTTGTGATTTTATGTGCAGATGCACCTTTTCAGTATATTTCACATATAAATACTTTACAATATTATATACAGTGTGTCATTTATCACATAATTTAGATCATTATTTAACCAGAGATTTTACTGCAGAGTCTATTGAATTCATGGAATATGTATGTATGACAAACACCATAATGGATGCATACTTTTGGTATTAGAAATGATCATGATATCATAGTTACATTTGTAACCTACTTTCCATTATAAGATTTATTTTGATACTCCTGCTCCCCAAAGTACTCTGAAAATATTTTCTGCCTGAAATTTCACGTGTGGTGTCTAGAATAGGAGACTGTTTGGCTGTAAAGAGGGGGACAGAAGTTTAAGATGAATCACACAAGGTATTTTGAGACACAGTACTGAAAAAAAAAATCAATGTTTTGAAGGCTCTGACTATTTTGTAAAACCATATCACAAAGATACTTTGGTCTAGAAATGAGAGTTACCCCACCTACAGTAGTAGCAGATTAGCTCTTTTTTACCAGACTATTTTCAATATAGTTGTGTGAAACATTTTGGAGTTATTCACTACAGATTTCTGAATATTCATTTTTTGAATGTTGACCATATAGTTTCCTCCTGAGTTCAGATTGTTTTGATGTTAGGTTTGGGTTAAGGCTGGTCTTTAGTTTTTATTATACCCTTTGAACGTCCCTTACCCTGAAAGAGCTACTGCTTGAGCTATTTTGCATTGAGGCTTTCTTTTTAACCCATACGGGCATCTAACCCTCCCAGTCAATGGCAGAGTTCCAGCAGCAATACCAAATCATCTTGGATAAATGAGTAAAAAAAAATTTTTTTTTTAATTTTGGGTTTTCCTTTTTAAGTTTGTCCCTTCCAAATTGTGCATTTTAACTATTCTTGGGAACATTGTCTAATGGTCATGGAAGTGTTAACATATTTTTACTTTCATTTTCATACCAATTTTACTTCATTTCCCCCATCATTTGTATGTATTATAGTGAGACTAAGGCCAACAAAGTAAATAGAAATGTACCTAACTATATATGCTGTGCCAGGTATGGAAGAAGTTTAACAATCTCAAACACAGAGACTTTTCACCAAGCATGTGCCATAACAAAAGGTATCCTGTGCTGTGTTGAAACTTTTCTATTTTAATTTACAAAGTCATGTGTTCATGTTTCAGACAGTGGCACAACGTAGCAGTGACCATCTAGGGCCTGGTCGATGCTAATTACGACCTGTTTTACAGCAACAGCTGCTAAATGATGCAGCTATATCAGTGTTAGTAATGGCGGAAGTGCTAGTGTAGACCAGGGTCAGGCTTTAAATCCAGGGTGTCATGAAAATCTACATGTTTGGTAAAGGAAAGATCTTACTCTGAGCAGGTTTTCATGACACAAAGGTAAAAATGCATGATCCCTGTATTAGGCATCTTTGCAGCTATTCTGTTGCTGTAAGACAGGTACTAAGTTTTCTAGTGCTAGACACATCCTAGAGTAATGTCATCCAGCATTTAAAAAAAAAAAATCCCATTGTTGCTATTGCACTGGTGCTAATAATGGGAGCGTGAGGGTGGAGACGGGGCTCTGGTGTTTAACACTGTTGCACCACATCATCTAACCTTACTCAGTGCAAAGCTAGACACAGTAGTTAAAAATACTCCACCTGTGGCCAATCTGTACCAGTGCTTCTTCCTTTATTAGCAGCAATAGTGAAGCAACTACGGAGATAAAGAAAAACTTCAGGGACTAGGAGGACACACAAACAATACTAGTTTAGATACAACAACATGATCCTATCTCAGCCAGCTAAGGTGTGTTTAGTAATCCAGGGTGATATTTTCATAGAACCGGTCACATTTATTTTACACCTACTTCTTTAAACACAGTGGAAAAAAACCATAACATTTTCACATACTTATTTTTTATTACTTATTTGAGGTTTACCTACAGTTTTATCTAACAATTAATTACAGAAACTGAAAAATCAAAAGTAACTTCTGAATAAAATTCACTCAGTGAAAAGGCCAAATCAACTATAAAATAATCACATTGGAGATGGAGGGGAAATGGAGATTAAGGAAGTCATTTGAACTCCGACATGACCATTTATAAAGGGATTTCAACAGCTTTATTCTGATATTTGTCAGTTATTTCCTGCCTACTGTTGGAAATTCTTGCTATAGATTTGCACATGTATATATCTCTGCCTATGCTCCAACAGCTATGAAAAAAAAATAAGACTTATAAGCCAACTGAAAAAACATATTTACACACACACACACACACACACACACACACACTGTAACAGTGAGAAGCAGTAATATTTTAATATGAACAAGGGCACAGGCCTAAACAACAATAGGGAAAATCTGTAATACATTATGAAGGTTATTCAGTTCTTAATGTGAATGTGCATATTATTACCCTGTCCACAATACTTAATTTTTGCCAATTTACTATAGATATAGTGCAGTAACGTTACAACTTTTCTATATAACACGTATAAACTACTGTTCTATTCTACAGGACCTAGTTTCTGCTGTATCTATCTCAGAGCCATTTGGAGAAGAGGTCTCAGCTCTTAATAACGGTGTCTAAAATGACAGCAGAAGGCATGGTCCTTTTTCACCTCCATTACTATGTCTTTCCTGGATTGTCTTTCACCTGCTGTGCAACTCTGCCTTGAAAGAGAGAGACTGGGGGAGGAAGAAACTCAGCTTGTATTGCTTCTAAGAATTAGGATTTATGTTCTTCACACCACTAGTAGTTTCTAATGATAGAGGATGTGATCATCTTGAGGCTGGAAATACACTTGCTTCTGGGAGAACTGTGTGTGCTGCAAGCTGTCACTTTTTTCTTTTATACCTCTGAGTACTGAAGAGTTATAATTAACTGTGGGAATTCTTACACTCTCTGTAACTAAGCAATGCTTTATTTAATGTACATATACCAAGTTTCAAGAAGAGATTATTATGTCTCAGATATTTCTACAACTTTGTTTTCCTCTTTGCCCCTTCCAAGACAAATTACTGAAATGAAAGAGACATCTAACTTATAAATAAGTATAATTCTTTTATTGCCTTGATTAATGAAAATTTGTAGCCGCAAAGCTTATGGGATCTGGAGTCTGACAACTCTAATTGCCTAGGAGGACTGTTTTCCCATTATGAAGTTAGTGAATCCCTCATGCCACCATCAAAGCCTTCTTCAGACAACATATTAACAACCAAAATATACATACCAATCTGCACCAACTATTATAAGTGGCTCAATACTGATCTCAGGTATTTGGGTGATTGTTCCTTATAATTACGTATGGTCACCTCACTACCTGTGTACATTCATGCATACTGGTAGTAGGTGGTTGAATACAATATGACAAAGAGCATCAGACATCAAAAATGAGCTTTATGTATAGAATCTTTGGTTCAGGAGACATATATTGACTAGAGGCCAAGCTTAAACTAGTGACTAACACTAACAGTGGGGAGGCAGTATAGCCTAGCAGA